TACGCTATAAAAGAATGTCAGAAGTCGCGTTTAATACGTCCTGTTTTGCTCTTAAATTATCAGGTTTCGGTCATAAAGGAACGTCAACTTGAATTTTCTCCTTTTTAACCTTCAAGACATACCATCAAAGGTTGCAATCAATGTCATGCAAGTGAAATATGATATTCAGACGGACTGCCTGTTTTATGTTAGGGAGAAAGCTCAACAGAAATTTCCAATTAGAAATAATTAGTTAGAAAGAATATGCCTATATGTTTTTTCAAGGGGGGGGGGGGGGGTTAAAATCGGGCCCAAAAATTTGCAACGACTCAGCCGGGGGGGGGGGGGGGGGGGTAAGAGGACACTTTTTTTTTTTGTATCGAAATTTGAAATTTGACATTTTGTCCCGTTGGGGGGGGGGAGGTCACCTTTTTTAGGTCAGCCTTTGGGATAATTTTTTATTTTTTTATTTAAAAAAAAATTAAAAAAAAGGGGGGGTTCCAAATAAACATACACAAAAAATACACATTTAAAAAACTCAAGGGGGGTTTAACCCCAAAACCCCCTCCCCCTGCGTACGCGCCTGCCTATATCTTGATACCTCAGTCACACTGCCAAACCGACTCGGTGCCGAACGACGTTTAAAGGGAAAGTCCATGATAATATGGTTGGTTTTAATAAAACCAGAAACATTACAGAACCGAATTAGTGAACGTTTGAGCAATATCCGATTAAAAAATAGGAAAGTTATGAATTCAAAAAAATGTTAATATCAGTGAAACACATGTACAGGGAAGATGGGAGGGGACCTCGCTAGATACATGTACGTCACTGAGTTACCAATTTGTGTTTAATCGATATCATTGCACCTTCAAAAGTTCATAACTTTCTTATTTTTAATCAGATTTGTAATTATATTCAATAGATATCTACCAGATATGAATGAAGATACCCCCTCCCTCCCTCCTCAATAGAAACAGAAGGGAAAAAATAATTACAAATGAATTTATAAATTGAACTGTCACATAATGTTTTTTCTAATTTATCTGTAGAGGTAATTATATATTTTTTTAATATGATAACTCTAACGTATTAAATTTCTGGCAGTATTCCTTTTTTGCGCCGATTTTACCATTACATCTTATCTAGCTTGAGTAGCCACACTGAATGGTTTAACATTTTTAATGAATAGAATATCATTGTTTCTTCGTTGCAGATAATATCAACTGTGTCATAACATGCAGTGTGTTTTTCAGATGCGACTGTACTTGGTCATTCCATGAAGTTAAAGTTGAAACTTGAGACCATACATCAATTTAGTGGCAATATAAATAGTATTCGGAAGGGGTAGGGAGAGAAGGAGTTCTAAGCTATTTTCAGGTGCACCGTCTCCTTCCTCTGCTCAATTTCCTACCAAAGACTGCTTCAAAGAAGAAAGTACAGCTTAAGTTTTTGAGACAATGTAATATGTGAATCATGACTTTGTGAACATTTGCGAAAGGTTATGTGAGTTAGAAATGGGGATGTCGTAATGTACTTTCATTTGTTTCTTCTTTGTGTTACTAACCTTCCCGTCTGTGCTGGGAAACGGTATTTCCTGTACCTGTAATATTGATTTATCCATTTCATACACTCTTGAAATATTCGGTAAATAAATTTTGCCAAGTACTGGCAGTCTGGTTGGTTACAGAATTACAAATTTCTAAGCTATTTCTAACCAATTTAGCTAAAGAGAGCTTGATTAATATGTGGCAATTATTTTCACCTAAAATGATAGAGCTTAATGGTTATATTTCACAGTTACACTTTATAAACTATATATTGTGATTTAGAAAAGTAGCCTAATATTTCCACTTCTTTTTATCAAGTTGGGTAAAGTATTTTGGGGCAAGTAGTATTTGGTCCCCCCCCCCCAAAAAAAAAAACAACAACAACAAACAAACAAAATCCCAATGTGATGCAAAATCCCAATGTGATGGGTTTAGCCTCCATCTAAACCCAAACATTAGATAAAGATATTGTTAAAGGTCGCTCAGTCAAACATAAATACAAAATAATGTTGATCAGTGGTAATTGTTTAGGCCTTACACAATATAGCAATAAAGATATTGCCCAATGTTTTACTGGGTAAATCAATATTGGTCAAAATCTTGTCCAACGGTTGGGTTATCATCCCAAACCATGTAGATATTTAATGGGGGGGGGGGAGTAGGTAAAATTAAGTAGAGCGTTAAAAAGAAAACCCGCATTTTCTCCAAATACTGGGAAATACAATGGGAAAATGGGCATCGGATGTACTGAACCATTAGTCGGGTAAAATTACTCACTGCAAAGTCGACGATCAACTATCATGATTTTTAAATAGTTTGGATTGGGTCAATTTGGGTCAATTTACTAACTATGAGCAAACATGTCATATTTTGTATTATTTAGAGTGCATTTATAACAGTTTGAATTTTACATGAATGAATGTGTAGGAAAGGTTAAGAAAAATGATAACTGTGTAGGTTAGGATGAGATAGGTTCGGTTAGGTTAGGCACAAGGAGATAGATGGACAGATTTGAATGAATAATAGTAGAAAACTGTTCCATACTAGTCTTTTTGACCCAGGTTAAGGAAAGGAACAGACAAATGGGCAAAATTTGCCAAAGAACATAGCATTCGAATGATAAAAATAATATACTGGTATTATAGGGCGCTTTATACATTGACAATGTCTTTAAGCGCTGTTTATATTCATCGTTCATCGGATTCAGGTATGCCCGCACACATTGTATGCACATTCTTCACCTGGGGAGCATTCCAGCCAGGTGCCCGTTTAACACCTGGGTGCATGGAGAGTGACAAATGTGGTTTAACGTCTTGCAAAATGACGTTAGTTCAGGGCTGGGATTTGAACCCCGTGCCTTGTGATCGACAGTCGAGTGACTTAATATAAAAACCTCTAAATTATTATGAGTTGGGTAAATTTTAACCAAATGTTGGGAAGAACTAGCAATGAGTAACTTATTTTTCAGGGGTTTGATGGATGTCATGCTACCCATTGCTCGTTAAAATACATAATAACGTCATTGAGTTGGCAAAATAAAAGGTTGAGTGAAATAGTTGGGTATTCCGTAATTCACTTCATAAACAGTAATTGGCAAAATACCAATTGGCTATTTTATGGGGTAAGATTAGTCGGACAACAACCAACAGAAATATAACTAATAACATTGAGCAAACTGAGAGTTAAGTATTCAAAATGTGATTGTGAAAAGCAATGTAATTTGTCAAACAAAAACCATAACATCTAAATGACACAATAAGTTATTTAAATCTGAACCCACAGTTTACCGGTCAGTATAATTATGTTGCAAGTGTTGGCTGAAAAATTGTTATTTATTCTTGTCCAATTCTTTTACGAGTGTCTATCCATTAACAAAATGTTCAGGATGACTCTGTCACACATGAATTTAAAGCTTAAGTGTTAACTCAACTTTTAAAAAGGCGAAGGAGTGACGGTGCTTGCGAAGATGGTTGATTTCATAATGTTGGTTAGAAATTGTATGATGTTGGATCAAGCAATATTCTGGTTGCGGTACTTAAACAACTCTGTCGTTCATATCGTGTTATGATATGGAAAAAATAATGCACATTTTAAAGAAAAAAACATCCTGTAATATATGTAAAAATTGTTTATTTTCATCGTAATAATGTTAGCTATACTATTAGAATTCAAACTACATTTTGTTATATTATATATGCATATCATTTTGTGTGCCGTTGTATGGCCGACTTATGTTTTGTTTGATACTTTGTATTTTTTGTATACTCAATATAACCCTTTTCTATAAAATATGTATATACTAAAGAAACCATGTGGAAGGGTACTAAAAAAAAAAAAACAATGTTATCGTTTCCCGGCCCTTCTTAACGTTGATTGCACACGTTACTTATTTAGAGAGGCACTAGACTGCACATTTGAGGGTTTTTGATGACGAGACCCCCCCCCCCCCCCCCCCTCCCCGAAAAAAATCATCACATTGACATAACACCATATTCATAAAAACATGTTAGAAGAGTGATGAAAAGACGTTTTGAACATTTGAACAATCAATCAAGCAATATAGCTCCATTATTAAAAAACAACATAATTGAACATATTGAACTCCGCCTGCATGTATTCGGCATAGATAGGGCCAGCCAAAAACTCAATTAGACATCTTTACTGCCAATGTGTTTCAAGCGTTTGGTTAAAACGATGCAATGAGTAAATGACGTCTTTACAGAACTCATTATTTCATGCCATGGACCCCACTAATCCTAAGGAATGTTGTCTGTTTGGAATTTCATTTCAAACTATACATTTTACAATCCAATAATTAGTGCGGTATGGTATGTAATCCCGTAGGATTTTTTTGCCAAAATTGTTTTTTTTTTGTTTTTGTTTTTTTTTTGTTGCTGTTTTGGCTTCAAAAGGGTCCCAATTGGCCCAAAACGATGGGGTTCAAATTTTCAGACCCCTCCTTCACTTCTACGGGTCCATATTGGGCGCCAAAATGGCTTATATAAAGCGCAATAGGGAAATTTGGTGTCTTCGGGAAAATTTGAACCCCATCAATTTCTGATAGCTTGGACCCCAATGAATCCAAAAATGCAACAAAAACAAAATCAATTTTGACACAAAATTCCTACGGGAGCTGTTTCAGTGACATACCGTACCACAATGGGGGAGAAAAGTTGTTCGCAAGATTTCAAGTACTTTTAAATTGTACAATTTACATATCCATGTTGTTATGTACACACACTGTGTTATTCAAACTTATGATATCACGTATTGCATGATCAATATACATGAATCCTATTTATATTATTCCAATTTTCTCCTACTGAAACTTTTTCTAAACTGCATGCAATGACGTTCTTATTCTTTCGGATACGAGTAGCACTGCTCCCGAAGAAATAATAGCAATATTGATGGTATGAGATATCGGTATGTCGCCCTCATTTTATTTTTAGTTGGCAGCCTTCTTCGACTCTTGTGAAAGTGTTATTTATCGTGCATAATTTTTTTCGTGCGGAATCCACCAAGATGCGATGTTTATGATGTAGATGCGGGTGCAATTTGTGGAAGCTGGCGAGGTAAATAACGATATAAAATTGGTATTAAACTCTATTTCTTGCTTTCTGATAACTTTTCGACGAGTATCGTACAAGTTAATGTGCGTTTATACCACTAAAGTGTGAAAACTTGAAGAGAAGTGTGAGAAAATTGATGGAAATGCGAACATCTGTTTGCGAGGTTTCTTGCTTGACACAGTCGGCTCAGTTCGTTGCGTGTATTGTCCATTGAGTGCAGTTGAAATGTCAACATGTCAGTCAGTTCGATCAGCTGTAGGACGGAGCTCTAGACTAGTAATACAGTTCATTCATCAGCTTGTTGTGTTGTGTACGTTTTAGGTTTTTCTTTCTTTTATTGAATAAATATGTATAGATCAGCTGTATTATACAAGATCACCAACATAATTTAAAACTAGTCTAGATCTAGGCTTCCATTCAAGTGAAGTGGTATTGCCGGTACTGGGGGTACCCGGATGACAAATCAATATTGTTTTTGCATTGCTCTGTCATCCAGGAATTTCAACTTATTGCTTGATTATCGAGTATAATTTTGTTATTTCGCTAGTCAGCTTGATATAGATAATAACAATATTCTATGGCTTTGTTTTTTGTGTGATACTATAAAAATATTGCTCTCGCTATGATATTGGACTGGTCTTCGACTCATCCAATAATTGTCAAATTTCATCGCCATTGTCGACAAAGACACATACCGTTAGTGATGTACCGTAGGCCATACCTTAAACCTATCCTTATTACTTGACTAGATCTAGGGCTTGGGGATAATGTGAAATATGATATTGATATCACCCATACCCCTTCGTGAAGAGGCAGGTAAACAAACATAAAATATTTACGAAATCCCCCGTTCCCATATCCGACGAACATCCCACACTGGCCTCGTAGTTCACTACTGGACTTTTCTTTCTTCTCGTAGTCAAACAAAGCACTTTGGAATAAGTCAAGGATTTAATTAAAAATATCAGATTTTGATACCGGAGTAATAGCGATTTGCTTACCTTCCGAGTGTTCATGATGATGATTAGCCAAGGTGCGATTTACAAATACAAAAATGCTGACCTTTTACAGGAGTTTGTGATGTTACAAGTATTTCTAACTGAAATGCAAAAACAGGCGAATTAATTTCCTAAAATGACAAAACGGCTAGCCAAAAAATTAAATACGCGACAGTGCGCAAGCCAAATACGCAAAGGTGTGACTGAGGCATAACAATGAATTCATGGAACCATTTCCCTTGACCTCAAATGATCTCTTGTACACTGCTCTTTAGAAAGAAGAAAAAACTGATTTCCTCTTTCTACCCTTCCCTTTCAAAGTATTTTTATTATTGAAACTTGAAAGAGAACGATTTCCACTGCTTTTCGTAACATGACCTTTTATGTCTTTTTTCCTGTCTTTTTGAGAGTTTATTAGAAATTCAAAAGTTCAGAATTTTTATCACTTTTTTCTACATTTTTCTTTCAGGTCGTGCACTGGAATGAAAACCGTGCCTTGAATATGAGGTTGTAGATGTCTGACCTTCATGAATCCACAGGAAGCAGAAAGCAGAACTCGGATTCACTAACATCAGGAGTCTTTCCGGACCCGTGAGGAAAAAAAAAACTTGCATGACAGAAATCATTTGAATCTAATGAACTGGAAGGGTTAAAACTACTGGTAAAACTAAGAAAAAGCTTGATAATGTACTGGATTGTTCCACTGATTCCAAACACTAATTCCAAACTTTCCAATTGAGAGACCAATCATCGACCACACTGCTATATTCCAACTGATTTTTCATAGTTTTTATAATTGTGTAAACAATCAACTTCTCCTTCTCTTGTGATCTGAATGTGTAACAGTACGTCAAACCAAATATCATCCTGATAAGGCCGTGCCGATTCGAATACTTAAGAAAGCATCCATAAATCCAGAATTACCCGATCTTGACTCAGAGGAAACGAAACACACCACGATGGCCTCTGTCTATTTTCTCCTCCGTGTGGTATTTGTGATGTTGTGGAACTTGTTTTCATTGTCTGAAGCGAGGTACTACTACCAGCCTATTTCAAGGAGTAGGACACAGTATGCAAGACAGGATAATGATTACTTTACAATGGATATTCTCATGCCAGGAGTTAAACCAAAAACGGTAAGTATTTTTCATCAACGGGTAATGTCTTTGAGAAAAGTGGTGAATAAATTTTGAGGATTGCAAGAAAGGGTGGGTCAGGTTTATTCCCTCAATAGTTTCAAAAACTTGCAATATATTCATGCTTATTATTATAAGTAGTCTTTCATATAATGATTTCATACATACAGATATTTAAGTTTGGTAAACACATGTGTTTCTCTCTCTATTCTCCAATCATTTATTCTTTAGTTTGAGGACAATTCCATTTTTGTATCTTAAACACAAAACTGTTCATTTTTAATTTTGTGGAGAAAAGAGATTTGTATGCCTCTGCCACTGAAGATTGATGCTTAAAATTCCCTAAAACATGAGAAACTATTAAAACTGTAATGTCCCTTTGGCACAAAAATGATGATTGAATACAGGTTTTATAAACTGTTGTATCACTTGTATGCATACATTTAATTAAAATACAGGAGTAGGCTTTTCATAATTGAAAATATAGTAGGAGACTTCTGTCAGTTTTGTGTGTTGAAAATCATAGAAAACTCACACATATTGTAAATGGGCCACATCCTACTTTTCAATAGAAAAAGCACACATCTCCAGTCGATCCATTTTTAGAAAAATATAAATATCTAGAAAATGATCACATTATAAAAATTATCATTTTTATGATCATCCCACGTACATGTACATGTACATGTACATGTATGTTAGCCTGTTCTATGCTTTAGAGTTTATAGTACTGATTTCTCCAGGAATAATATAAATTATGTAGGAATGACATTTGTTTTTTCATTATCATTTTCCCTTGATATTGTTGAGAAGATACATATTGCATAAATGAATATACAGTGTGTATATACATACAATACATTTAACATGTAATATCTTGGCCATTAATTCCACTGTGAATTGGGGCTCAGTTGTCTGAAGTTCATTAAAAAAAGCACTTGAAATGTTTCCGTTGCCAGATATAGAGTGTGTGCTCAATGTATATGCATGTACAATGCACATTATGTACAGTGTAAACTACATCCCTGGGTAAGTGATGCGGTTTGTCCGTTTGATTCCAGAATACTTTCTTTTATTTTGTTCTTATAATCACATGTATTTCATTTATTTATTTATTTATTTCTGAAATTTATACAGGGTGGCACATATTACCAATTTGGTGGTCTTCCATGAGGCCCTGTTTGGAAATAATAAAACAAATAACAGCATCAAACACAAAATACACCTGTAGATAAATACACAAGCATATAAACAGGTAAAATACAAATTAGTTGGTATCCCTATGAAATAACTGATCACTCAAGAATCATCCTCGATCATTTACAAGAAATAGGTGAATGGAATTGTTAAAAACGTTCATTTAATAATCTGATATAGCTTAAAGCACGGGATACCACAATTGTTATATACTGTACATATTTACATTTAATTGCTCTTTAACTACATACATTTCTGTATGCAGAAATGCAAATCTGGGACCCCGCAAGTCCTCCAGTAAACCTTACAAGTATGTACATGTATGTTTGCACTTTGCGGTCTCCTAAATGTATCTCTTACAGTGTATGTACATAATTGCAATTGATAGGCATCGCAAATAAGTTTGGCCCAGGACTACAGTTATATAAACATTCTATTGTTTGGAATAACTTGTCTCATTGAGACACCAGTCTGCAATGTTTGTTTTCAGGTGATAGGGTAAATAGAAAAGGGCTTTTATGTTTTGTTACAGTAAACAAATGTGAAGATCTCCTGTGTGTATAATGTCAATTAAACTGTCCAATACAGAGAGACATGAATTTTGTGTGAATGGGAAATAAAATTCAATGAACTGGTACTGAAAAATTAGAAACTTCCATGGTGCAAAATGATTAATTCAGAAAACCAAATTTTGCTAATTAGTGTAGAGTTTGTCGCTGTGAAAATAACTGTTTGTGGAATTTGTTCATGCCTTGCATTTTCTGGTTTTTACAGTGTTCTACATGCATGTACAGTGTACATGTAGTTTCAATGAAAAATTGCTATCCCATAATTTCTTGATTGATAAGAAAGTGATATTTTTAGGTGTATTGTAGTGATAGACAAATCAATACTATAATGTACATGTATGTACTGGAATTTGTCACTGCAGATGAATTAGGTAATCTGCAGTAGATCTGAATGGATTATAAACTAACGATCCAAAGAGCATCTGGTTATATCATTGTACAGTACATGTAAGATCGACAATCGCTGACAGGGAGAGGAGCTGTACAGTAGTTTCATATTTGAAATAGAATTTCCCTATACCGTGTGAGTCAAAAAAAAGTTTAGACCTAGAAAATTGCTAATTACAGTGTATATTAAAGATCATCTATGAACAGTAAATTATTATACATCTTATGATAGAGTGTTTTATACCAAATCATTTCATATCATTTTTGTGTGGTACAAGTATGTGTTCATGCTTGAATGAACAGGAGGCATTGTTTGCAAGAGTGCAAAAATTGACTTGCGCCAAAGTTGCTTATGTGATGTATTAAAGTGAGAGAATGAATTAAATGTATCAAATAAGATGCACTTCCTAGGCTCTTTGCAGAAGCAAATTCACACACACACACTCGCGCGCACAAATGTTCTTTGATATTTGATATGTGTGGCATGATTTATTTTGTTAGGGATGTTATTTGGATCTGCAAAGACCGAATTAATACCCAAATCCCAATTTTTTTATTCAAACATCAAAGGCTTGATGCTTCCCATAACCGTATACAGACTGATTTTTTAACTTGTGTAAAGTTGAATATTACCATTAAACAGTTCTATTACAATATACATATACATGTACATATATTTGCATGTTTTTGTTGTTGTATTTCTGAATTCCAGCTTCTTTTTCTCTGTGTTTTGTTATTAACGTTAAGAATGGAGGTAAATTAATTGGTTAATATTGTCTTCCAGAGTGCCAATAGGGCATTTTAGTATTCATTTCAACACAGTGTTACTCAGAGCCAAGGGCTGTGAGCTAAATAAGGCTCTGAGGAGATGAAAATAACTCTTATTGCCTCTGATTAATCAGCCATTCATACCCGTATGTAATCCCATTTGGTATCGGGTCTACTCAATTACAATGTACACCCTAGCTTCTGTGATTGACCATGCCTTCAGTATTTCATATCAATGGTATCGTGGCCACCCCGTACACATACACACTTGCACATTTACATGTATACCCAACCGCAGAGAGCAAACAACAGGGAAAAGGATACAACAATGATGTCATGAATCACCATGACAACCCATCCGTAATGGTCAGTCGACCTGGTAGTGTTCTTGAGATGGGTTTATGAGAACATCATTACTACCATATGATTATTGATTTCATCAGTTTTGCAGCAATATGCCACTCTTAGTGACTCATTTGAAAATGAAAATTATGTTTTTAGCTAAATTTGTTGTGTCAATGGTCAATGTGAGATAAAAATGTTGAATGTGTTCTGTTTTAGGCCTACATGTACACACCACCCTGTACATGTACATGTACATGTATGTAAATACAGGTACAGTGATAGTGATAGTGAGAACTGATCATATATTTCAGCGTGTGATCAATCTTATAACTTGATTTATTGAAGTGCAGTGTATACTGTACATGTAAAAGCAAAACATATAATAGAAAATAGAATACATAAAAGTATGTACACTGTATACAAAGTAAATACAGTGTTTGTATGGTCAGGACCACCAAAAAATGCAAATTAATAATCATAAATAGGGACCCACATTTATGAATAGTTGAAAACTACAGTACACTGTGTAATGGTTTTCTGTCAGTATAATAACACAGTGACTGTATAATAGAGCATTATACATGTTTGTGATCATTTTCTTTCATTTACATGTACATGTAGGTACAGTAGCTTGCTTTTATTTATCAGAAAATCATTCAAACATACATGTACATAAAGTACAGGTACAGTGTAAGGTTCGTAAAAGTGTCTACCTGTATCTAAATGTTAGAATTACAGAAATACCACAACTACATGTAGTACAATACAGCTTTATTGAGTTTTATCTCTTACATGTACAGTACATGTACATGTTTATGATAGTTCTTGTTCATGATCAAACATGTACGTACACTGTACTTCCAAGCCCAATCGTAAACCTCAGTAAAGAAGACAGGCAAATTGGCAAGAAGGAATTAAGTGTTTGCTATCAGCCTACATGTGCACCTCCTACTGATGAGAACAATTAAGATATTTATGAATGGGTTGACATTTGTAATTTGACATCTCCTGAAATCCCAATGAATTTTAGATGGAGGATATATTTTAGTAGGTTTCTATCATGCAGAGAGTGAAAATAAGAAAGATGTACGTATTCATTTCTTTCTTTCTTTTTTAAAATTTACTCATGTATTTCTTGTCATGTTTATTTATTTACATGTACATCTGTATCTGTATTTCCTTTTATGCAGCCTGAAGAATACTTGTGCTATGCTGAAGCTGCTCCTCTCAGAGATGCATATATTGGTGAGTTGTGTTCTACTTTACAACCCAACCTCATCCTCTGCTCCTCATCCTCTGCTCCTCATCCTCTGCTCCTCATCCTCTGCTCCTCATCCTCTGCTCCTCATCCTCTGCTCCTCATCCTCTGCTCCTCATCCTCTGCTCCTCATCCTTTGCTCCTCATACGATCCCACGCTTCTCCCATTACCACTTGTCAATTTAAATTGTTGTTGAGTGTTGTTTCGATTATCACAATCCCAAGGTTGAAATACATTGCTGTATGAGCTCTATTAGTCTTCAGTAGAATATAGATAAATAAATTGTTTTTAAACTCCAGGGTGAAAGTATTCAATAAAGTCAATTTGTATGAGGCTATGCTACATGTACATGTAGTAAAAGAAATTACCATATTTTATTTTTGGATGTACATATCTACAACCTACATGTACGTACTAAAGTGTTCAATTCTCTTCACTATCTCTAATAAATGTTTTGTACATCGTTTCTTTTTGCAGTAAATTTTGAGCCCAGAGCATCGATGAAAACTATTCATCATATGCTTGTATATGGATGTACAGATATACCCAACAATGAAGAGACAGTTGGGTAAGTACAATGTCTCATCCTATCCTTGCTATACTGACATCATTATATTTATTATTTCAACAAAAGAAAAAATAATAATAATAATAATGTAATAATGTATTTATATAGCACATTTTCCATATGTTCAAAAGTTCAAATGGGCTTTACAATTATATTATTAACAGAAGAGGTTAGTTTTGAGATATATTTTAACCTACATGTTCATGTACCGACATTGTTCCATATCTTCATGTTATTAGCGATATTTTACATTTAAATTACAGTGTACTTTATCCATACAGTAATTGTTTTTTTCTGGAAACCTCTTACAGTATGTAGGCTAATTTGTGTTCAAGATACAGGTAGATCGATGCACAATTTAACCATTTTCTGATCTTCACACTATATAAATTTGTTGATGGCAGGACTAATGTTCATAATGTAACTACCCTGTAATGTACATTATCATGCCTTACATGTAGTGTAGTGTGCTAATGAGAACATTTCTTGACCTTTATTTCCGTCTCCAGTGCCTGTCATGGGAGTCCATGTTTAGGGAAGAGCAACATCTTATTCGGCTGGGCAAGGGATGCAGCGTCTCCTGATATCCCTCAAGGTGAGAAAGGGTCCCAGTCTCTATTATGCTTTTTATATACACTCAGATTTATTAGCCCTGTACTATCCTAAGCTAAGCAACATACTAACCTTAGAGAGATGCTCAACAACTATGTTTCAAGAAATTGAAATAGAATATTTGTAGGTACACATTTGGTAGTAAATTTTAAAGTCTTTTTTGAAATGACAGTAGTTCACAGTTGCCTAAAAGACAAATATTGAGATCATGAAAGGAGATATTGTAGAGTGGACAGTGATACATACATGTACATACATACATTAATGATTATTACCCATATCAGACATCTGAGCAGTGGTTTTACAAAATCATATTACGCTTGCTGGTAATCCTAAAAGGGCTAATCGGAGAATATGAGACCATATTTACCTTTCATCAAAAAGCCTATGGACTTTACGTGTTAAAAAAGCATGAAATATAAAACCATATTCACCGCGCCGTATTTTGTCATTTTCATCGCGCATCTATTATGCGTACGAGAACCTGCGCACTTTGCGCGTAGTCTATTGTGACGTAATAATCACATCAAATTGTCAAGCAGCTGGATGCACAGTGCTGGTTTGACAAAGCTTGTTCAGTTCTTTGAGATTGTCATGTTTGTATTTGCTCTAGATGTCTGATTTAGATAATAATAACAATATTGACTGGCTTAACTTTCGGGAGATACTACGTATATTTCCCTCACAAGAACCATATTGCCCTCGTCTTTGACTCGGGGCAATATGAATCTAGTTTGGGAAATATTATGTGGTATCTCCCTCAAGGCCAGTCCATATTATATAAACATTATCATAAGGTAGGTGTAATGTTAAAACAGAATAACCTCGAAAGCGAAGGGGATGGAGAGAGAGAGAGATAGAGATTTTTAAAAAATATATATTTCAATTTCAACCATATGCTGCATATTGCACCCTGAGATGATAAAAGATAGTGTTAGGAAAAAGACACAATCCAATATTATTTATCCACTCAGATTATTAATACTCTGTGGCCATGAACAACTTATGACCAATTTACAAGTAATGTGAGATCCAATATGGCACATTTTGCTTTCTTCATGACCTCCTACGTTGATGAAAGCATTGAGTGGAAGCAAGCAAGCTCGCTCCGAGCTCTGCAGAATCCTTATTGCATTCAGTACATGTCCATGGAAGCTACACTGCAGTGTATTAGTCTGCCGCCCCGGACCTTAATTTGATACTTAAATTACAATTCCACGCAGTTTTGAGCTCTATCAGGAGCAGCTATAGTACAGAGTTGATCAGGTGCAGTAGACTATGTAGTCTACATAGTCTCTTACAATGTAGTTCAGACACTCTTCTTACATGCACATGTACTGCAACTTGCAAGGGTTTGTGCCTGAAAATTGAAAAACTAACCCTTGCACAGAAGGATGCCATATGGAGAGCACATTTTCCTCTAGGCTCTGTTTACATACAGGTACATGTTAACTATATACTTCAGTCTTCACAGGAGATCAGCAGTAGTGAGCACCAGCATCTTTGTATGTACCCAGTGAGCAGATGTAAATGAGTATTAGATTACCCGTCCAAGGTTACTCCAATTTCTTGCATATTGATTATGCTGCTTTTATTCCCATGCATTTTTCATCAGAATTTGCCCTGCATCTTGATTAAGGGGGGGGGGGGGGGGGGGGGGGGGGGGGGGGGGGGGGACTAGAATGAGTCCTCATCACAGTTTTCTTGACTAATTTAGTCCTCTCTCTTCCTCTCCGGCATCTTTCACAGTGGCATAGCTATAGGGGACATTGACACGTGGGGTACACATCCACCTGCTATAACAGAAAATGAGGAAAAGAAAAATAGAAAGAGAGAGAGAGAGAAAGAAAGTAAAAGAAAGAGAGAGAGGGAGGAAGAAAGAAAAAAGGATGTAGAACTGGTAAATAGTATGCCTGTACTATCAGGAATGGTACTAAATAAAAAATCATTTTGGGATGATGGGAGTTTAGGGTTCTTGCATTTATTATTTACATGCGCTTCACACAAAAAAATTGGGGGAGGAGGGAGAAGGCAAGCCCCCCCCCCCCCCCAACACCCCTCTAGATCTGCTTCTGTATAATATCTTGATTAGGTTTTATAAACAGAAACTGTCATTCTGAATTGTCAAATTATATGTACATGTACATTTATTTGTTTAGTTCACTGCTATACTCACACTCTTTACGTGCCATACCGGTATACTTTTTTCTATTAAAAAACATGTTTACTGCATTTGATTATTTCCGAACTAAAATTACATCTAAGTCAAAGACACATTCATTCAATTTTGTTCTCTTACTTTTCTTATCACCAGGTGTTGGTTTCCATGTGGGCGGGGCTAGCGGCATCAACTATATCATGATTCAGATGCACTACGGAGACAAACTGGACCATTTAAAAGGTAATGAATCGTATGCATTCTCATTCTTATCTTGAACTCTTTTACTTCCTTGGTATATTATACAAATGTACACTGTCTTGAGAGGTTCTGGTAAAAACTTTGGGCAAGAGTTGACTCCAATGGTATTATTGGAGTCACTGTGCGAGGCCCATAGTTTTAGCCAGTACCTCAAAAAGAAGACAAGGTATCAGGCCTTAAATTAATCGACGGCCATCGACGGCCAGGCCGTCGATGCCCCTATGACTGGCCGCGGTGCCCTCCCAAAAAAAGATAAATTCACGGCCAAAAAGGCCGTGCCCTTTTTTTCAAACTGGCCGACGTGCCTTTTTTCCAACTGGACGTGCCCTTTTTTTTTTAAATTTGCGCACATAAAACCACCAATTGCGCTTAAAACTAGACGGCAAGGCGCAAGTGTTTTCCGTGAAAATGCGCCCATAAATTATTAGAACAGAAAAAATACACGAATCACGAACAGTTTGCCGCCCACGAGCTCTCTTCTAGCTTCGTATTTAGTGCTTTAATAAGGCGCAAGTGCCGTGAAAATGCGCCCTTTGTTATTATATAGGCAATGCGCTAGCGCACGTACGTTCATGCGATCGCATGATATTCATATGGTGCATGTTGTTGACGCACGCACGTACGTACAAATCAAAGGCCAGGATCAAGAAAACAAATCGTCAAATGGAGAAATAAACAAGCATTCAAATAGTCATTAGAGATCTGTCGAGGTTTGTTTGTAGGTCTAGTTTATTATTTTATCTCAAATAGAATTTAGAATTATCTTATTAATAAGTTAAGAACACCTACGATGTTCTCGATCGTAATTACTCTCATTTTGCCACCAGCCGACCTCGCTTCAAAAAGCTACCCCGCCAGCCTCCCAAGACGAACGTTTCGAGTCCCGGTAAAATTACGCGCTGCGAGTCTCCGAGGGTGCATCGGTTTCGCTGGCAAACTTCCAGCCCGACAGCTTCCCACCAAAAGTGGCGAGAGTGTGTGTGCGAGGAACGATTTTGGTTTCGTGAATGCACGTTACGCAACTGAGCTGAGCGTGTCACTTTCAGCTGTCGAATGTCTATAAGGACATTTTTACATCTTATTTCATTAGTTAGGCCTATCTAACGTTAGACCTTTCTATACAACAGTTAAAAAGATAATTTCTTCAAATTTGCTCCTACTACCGAGAGAGTGGCGGAAGGTTTGTGTGTGAGGTGCGATTTTGATTTGGGATACCCGGCCCGGTAAACTTGCCAAGTCCTTCTGACTTTCGATGTTTGTGAAATTGACAATTTATTTATTCATTTGCTCATCAATATTTTTAGTTACTTTAGAATACTGTTTAATGTGCAAGTTTAATGTTCTTAATCAATCTTTCCTGTTCATATTGTTAAGATTAAAAAGTTATTAAATTGATCGTTCGATCTATTCACATTATGAAATTAACAACTCTCTTTGAACTTATGATTAGATAAGGGGCCTAGACTATCTGTTTTTGGAAAATTGCCCCTTGCTCTGGTAAATTCCTATGGCAAAGGGCGACTTAAAAAAAAATTGCCCCTTGCTCCTGGCTGCTAAATCTAAGGCTTGCGGGCCGCCGCCTTGTTTGTATGTACCGTAGACCTCTATACATTCTGTGAAGAAGCTGGTGCTAAAAGTCATGGGAAATTGATCCCACACAAGTTTCATAAAATACACATGACATCTAACAAAAGTAGAATCAATTTTTTTGGCCTCATACTCGATGCCCTTTTTGTAAAATATTTTGGCCTCGATGCCCTTTTTGTAAAAATATTTTGGCCTTGGTGCCCTTAAAATATGAGGTACTCGAGGCCAAACTGGCCTTGCCCTAAAAATGACGAAATTTAAGGCCTGAGGTATATATTTGTTTTATATCCTGCATAAAAACAGAGCAGTAGTGCAGCGCAGCTTAATAATTAGACTGCTACTCATTGAGATTGCGCAGCGTGACACCGGGGAGTTGCCTGCTGGAGGCATTAAAAACTATGTGTATTTGTATTTGACCATTTATGGTCATGTGAAGAGCTATCAACCAATCAAAAACGAATACATTTTTTATGCAGGATCCAATGATACATGTAGATAAACATTGGACTGCCAGAGCCGACTATTGTCAAACATGCAATGGCACTGCAAGCAGTGCGACTGTCTAGAGTTTCAATCCATAGTGAATAAAGAGTTAATTAATAAACCCATGCAGCCGGACCACCTCTATAGTGGTCTTTTCTCTTTAGTGACCAAGTATATTTTCTTTGTTTAGGAAGAAATAAGCATTGTTGAGCCTATCACCAGACTATAGTGGCCATGTTTTGATTTCTGTTGCCTTTGGTAGCCTTTACAAGTTTTGACTTCATTCATACATCTAGGGAACAGCAGCTTTCAGATAATGTACTTGAAATGTAAAACCACTCAATCCTTTACCGCCAGCAAAGAATATTTGAATAGCAGTACAGGTGCATTACAATGTAGAGCTTTTTACCCTTGGTCTCGTCACACCCACGAGACTGACACCAGTTTGACAAAAGATTGACCCACCGTTTACATTACCCCAGATAGCCAAGATTTTGCTGCTTATCGATTGCGTTGGAGTTTGTTTAGCTGTGTGACTTGGGCTATTGTTCTTTCTTCTTTATGCATTTCATGCTTAAATGTCAGACATGTCGAGCGCCATACCCTTCAAAATATGAAATATCCAACTCTCCCCCTTCATACAGTCAACTAGCTTGATTCAGACCAGCGAAGTAATTATGTACCATAAACATGCCACAGGGCTTCTTGTCCAACAAGAGAGGGAGGGGGGAGGGGAGGATGGAGGGAGGGTGCACCTTGCATTATTTGTTCAGTTGGGAAGCAGTTTGGATAAGAGCAATATTATTATGAATTTAGTAGTACTAGTACTAGTAAAAGTAGTAGTATTAATATTATTATCATTATTATAATTATTGCAAAATATCATCATTATTACCTCCACCCCCTGCTTAAATTGCAATTTTATTTGTCACATACTTCAGTCACACAAATATGCATACTACTTACTAGCCCACCCTCACAAATCTACTCTTTTGTTTGTCCTTCATCCTCTCTCTCAAGTGTGTATAACTATAAGCCCTTTTTAATACTCCACAGGTGTCACAAAGCAAACTGTGAAGTGCAATTGACTATTAAATCTCACTACTCAAACAGGTGCCTAGGTCTTATTTTCATAGCAATCAATCATACGGTTGCATGATTACAGTTTAATATGACTATTCCCAAATATGTATTTCAACCCATTGGATACTGACCTTGAGATAATTTGGGTTGGAATATATATGTTTGTGTGTTAACCAAATATTTAAAATTCTATTCGTCGTCGGATGAACAATTTGAGTTATAAGTTAAAGGTAACTTTGATTGTACATGTACGGTACTCAAATCAACTCAATTCAAATTGTACCCAGTGGATCTGAAACTGAAAATAATACGTCTCACCTAGTCGGACTGGGTGTGCACACATAAAATATTAAGAAGAAAACTATTCAAAATGCTGTAGCACCTGAATATGTCAGGATTTTGAGTTTTAAATTGATGTTAAGAATTTCATTCTGTAAGTGATTTTGTGAGTGATTTACAATGTAAACATTAAGAATTTTCGAAATTCACATATCGGTAGGTTTCTGTGAAAATAATTCTCATTTACAAATTGCAAGAGCTTCCTATTTCCAATTTTTGTTTTGTTTTACAAATTAATCATTGAAATACTTTGGAAGAAACTTAATAATATGACTTTCCAAAATTCTCTATGTACCTGTATAACCGATCGTAGAATTAGCAAACAAATTAATGTTAAGAATTTCATTCTGTAAGTGATTTTGTGAGTGATTTACAATGTAAACATTAAGAATTTTCGAAATTCACATATCGGTAGGTTTCTGTGAAAATAATTCTCATTTACAAATTGCAAGAGCTTCCTATTTCCAATTTTTGTTTTGTTTTACAAATTAATCATTGAAATACTTTGGAAGAAACTTAATAATATGACTTTCCAAAATTCTCTATGTACCTGTATAACCGCTCGTAGAATTAGCAAACAATTCAGGTCATGTACCCTGTATGTAGTGTAGTCGGACGTTGTCTAGTATGTAATTTACCCTACCCCAGAACTTTTGTATTCAATTCGTGATTTCAATTTACCTCGATTTTAATTTTACTTCTGATTTTTAGCGTTACCAGTAATGATGATACTGTACACTGTCCCTCTCACCTGTTCTGCCAAAGGCAGATCCCCACACCGGAGCCTTCTTTAGTTCTTTCTCCATCCCTCTCTCCATCCCTCCCTATATTCAGCCTTCTTTTTCATTGTGTCATATGATCTGTCACCTACCGAGTACAGAGTATATGACACCATCTCAATGCTTGGTCTTCCTCTTCCTCGTTAAGCATCCATCTTCCCTTCCAAGATGTCCCTGAGCATGTTACCCCCCCCCCCCCCCCCTCCCTGCAATACCGGTTCACTGCAGATATGCACAAATGAACATGATCAAAAATCTCTTGTTGATTAATTTTTTGCTCCATTTGTGTGGTTGCATTATTGACACAGAGAGCGTTAATCTATATACAAGTATATGTCACATGTGATTATTACACCAAGGACATTGATTTCTGTGAGTTTTCAAGTCAATAATTGTACTAATACCGGTTTGATTGTTATTGATCGGAGCAGCGGCTTGTGTTTGCTCTAGTTTGCAGGCACAATGCCTACATGAACATGTAAAGGGTCTGAACAAGGAGACTACATGTACAATGTACATGTACATGTAGCTGTACAGACACCAGAGTCCAAAGGCCCTTAATTAATTGTAACTGCTCTCTTATTTGACACAACCAGGGACTGACAAGTTAGGCTTTTCTCAAGGCTTTATGTAATTGTGTTCAAGTGTGAAATTAGAGTCTGTTTTTGCAGACTACATGTCCTTTTTTGCCCCCAGATTGATTGTCATATA